TATGGTGCTTCTGTACCTTTGCAGCAGGGCTGACCCAGCAGCCGCCTGGCGCAGCGGCGGCCCCGGGGACCCCCGGCTTGGGGACCCCCCGAGCCCCCGGGCGCGCTGCCCGCCCTGGGCGCCGCCGCTGGGGCCGGGCTGTGGCCGCAGCCCCCCCGCGCCCGCCCCGCTCTGCTCCCTGCGCTGTCCCCCGCTGTCCCCGTGGCCCTGTGCCCCCCTGTCCCCCTGGCACTGTCCCCCCCTGTCCCCCTGGCCCTGCCTCCCCCTGCCCCGGGGCAGCCGCCCGCCCGCCCCCGCCGCCGGACCCGGCCCTCCGAGGTAACCGTGGGGCCCTGGGGGGGCTGGGGGTGTCACCGCCGCCCGGGGGGACCCTGGGTCTGGTGGGGAGGGGACACAAGCGCCGGGGGCTGAGGAACCCGGGGGGCGGGAGGGGGACAGCGGGTGCGGAGTGCTGGGTGCGGGAAGGAGCTCACGGCTCTCCTTCTTCTTCTTCTTTTTGTTCTTGTTCTTCCACTGTTTGTTTTCAATTTTCTTTTTTATTCGTATGGCTCATCTTTTGCGTTTTCCTTTTATTGATTTTTTGGTTTATTTTTGTTTTATTTTTTAATAATATTTTCATTATTTTTGAGTTTTCTTTACTTTGTTAATTTTTCCGCTTAACTTTATCATTTAATTCTCTTGTATTTTCTGGTTTTAATTTTATTTCCAATTCTTTGAATGTTTAATCTTTGTTTTCCATTGTTTTAATTCTACTTTTAATTTATTTTTATTTTATTTAATTTTTTAACTTTACTTTTACTTTTTATTCTTTGCCTTTACATGCTTGAAACCTTTCCTTTCCTTTCCTTTCCTTTCCTTTCCTTTCCTTTCCTTTCCTTTCCTTTCCTTTCCTTTCCTTTCCTTCTTCCTTTTATTGAGGTTCTTTCCCCCCCTTTTTCTTCCTTTTTCTTCCGTTTCTTTTTTTCCCCCTTTTCTTTCCCTTTCCCTCTTTCCTTTTTCCCATTTTGTGAGGTTTTTTTCTCTTTTTTCCCCGTTTTCTGTCCATCTCTCTTTTGGCTGTTCTTTCCCGTTCGCTCTGTCTCTCCCCGTGCCCGTTCCGTGCCCCGTGCCCGCCCCAGCACTTTCAGGCCCCCGGAGCTGTCCCCGGGGCCGCCCCCCGAGCAGAGCCCGCACTCGCTGCGCAAAGGTAGGACCGGACCGGGCCGGGCCGGGGGGACCCGGGGGTGCCCGCGGTGGCGCGGCCCTGACCCGCCGCTGTCGCTGTGTCTGTCCCGCAGGGGCCAAGAAGCTGGCGCCCATCCCGTCCCCGGCCAGCCTGTCCCCGACGCCCCCCAGCACCCCGTCCCCGTACGGCCCCCCCGGAGCCCCCCCGGGCGCGGGGCCGCCCCCGCTGCTGCCGTCCCCCGCCGCCGCCGCCGCCCCCCGCGCCCGGGCCGCCCCCAAGGCGCGGCCGCGCCCCGCGCTGCCCCCCCCGCCGCAGCCGCCCCCGGCCGCCCCCGCGCCCCCCCAGCCCCCGGAGCCGCCCCGCACAGACAGCGCGGCGCCCGGGGACGGCGCCATCACAGGTAACCCCGGGGGAGGGTCCCGGGAGGGGGGCAGAGACCCCCGGCACGGGGACAGTGGCCCTGAGGAGGCAGCAGTGTGCCCTGGAAGGTGGGCATGTCCCCTGGGAGGTGGCACCCTCCCCGCAGAGGTGGAACTGTCCCTGGAAAGGCAAAAATGTGCCCGGGAAGGTGGCGGTGTTCCCCAGGAAGGTGACAATGTCCCTGGAAAGGCAGAACCGTCCCCAGGAAGATGGTGATGTCCTCAGGAAGGTGACAATGTCCCCGGAAAGGCAGAACTGTCCCCAGAAAGGTGGTGATGTCCCCAGGAAGTTGGTGACAATAGCCATGCACTCGGGAGGGTGGTGATGCCCCTGGAAAGGCAGAACTGTCCCCAGGAAGTTGGTGATGTCCCCAGGAAGGTGACAATGTCCCCGGAAAGGCAGAACTTTCCCCAGGAAGTTGGTGATGTCCCCAGGAAGGTGACAATGTCCCCGGAAAGGCAGAACTGTCCCCAGGAAGGTGGTGATGTCCCCAGGAATAGTAATGTACTCAGGAGGGTGGTGATGCCCCTGGAAAGGTGGAACTGTCCCCAAGACGGTGGTGATGAGCCCAGGGAGGTGCCAAGGCATCGGGAAGCTGGCAGGGTCCCCTGGGAGGCGGCAGTGTCACCAGGAATGTGGCATCCCCGGAGCTGTGCTGCTGTCCCTGCTGCTCTCCCTGGGCCCTGGTGGTGCTGTGTCCCCCCGGGGTCCCTGCGCTGCTGCAGGGGACAGCCAGGGGCGTGCTTGGGAAGTGCAGGTGGCATTGGGGACCACGGAGAACAGAGAGGCTGGGGGAGTGTCCCAGTGTCCCTTCTGTGGGGTCTGGCAGGACTCAGGGTTCTGTCCCTGCGTGCCTGCCCTGCCTGTGAGGGGTGGGCAGGCACGAGTGGCAGAGAGGGAGTGGTCACTCTGTCCCCAGGGGCTGTGTCCTGCCTTTGGGTGGCACTGGCACCGGTGTGGCTCTGCCTACACATTGCTGTGGGCCTGGCAGGGCACCCTGGCATGGATGCAGCCCTGACATCACACCTGGCATCGCCCCTGGCTTGGGTGCAGCTCCCCTGTGCCATTGTGGGACAAGATCCCTGAGCCACATCCCTGAGAAATATCCCTGGGCAATATCCCTGAAAAATGTCCCTGGGCAATGTCCCTAAGAAATGTCCCTTGTGTAATGTCCCTGGGCAATGTCCCTGAGCAACATCTCTGAGAAATGTCCCTGAGCAACGTCCTTGAGCTGGGCAGGGGTGGCAGAGGTGCTTCTTCTGTCTGAGGGGGTTGCTCTGCTCTCAGCAAGGGACACGGTGACACTGCCTGCTGTGGCTATGGTCACCCTGTCACTTCACACGTGCGGCCTCACCCTGCGGGTCCCCTGGGAGAGGGGACAGAGGTGTCACCTGTGCTCGGTGGGACACGGGCAGTGTGTGGGGACAGCTGGTGTCACCTGCCCTCGGTGGGACAGGGCTTCACGGGACACGGGCAGTGTGTGGGGACAGCTGGTGTCACTGCCCTGACTCGGGTGGGATCCACAGAGCAGAGGGCGGTGGTGCCACCCCCGGTGGTGACAGTGACACGGTGCCAGGCCGGTGGGTGTCCCCATCTCTGTGCCCTCCCGCAGGTCTGCTCCGTTTTGAGGTCCCCTCCCTCCACGTGTCCCCGGACGCCGCCCTGTGCCGGGACCCGCCCGAGGCAGCTCAGAGACTCTCGGGGCCGAGCCTGACCCCGCGGCAGGAGGAGGAGGAGGAGGAATCGGAGAGCACAGCCCTATGACAGTGTCCCTGTCCCCAAGCTCCTCCGTGCGGCACCCAGGGCCAGCCCCGGCCACCGGCACCCAGGGCCACGGGGCCATTTTGGGTGGCAAAGCGCCCGGTTTGGGGGCGGCCGCCGTTCTTTAGTTCATTTTTGTTCGCCTTATCCAGACTTTGCCTTGGAACCGGGTGCCTGCCCCCCTGCCCCGCAGCACCCACGACCCTGGGGCGGTGCCACCACGTCCCCCATGCCCCGAGGCGGGTGCCACTGGGTGCTGGCCAGGTGACAAGGAGCTCGCCGGCGCTTTGCAGTGGCATTTCCTTTCTTCGGCTTCTTCCCCCTCCGCTTGTTTGGGAGCAGGATGGGACCTGACCAGCAATAACCTGGGGATGCAGGATGTGTCCCCCCGGCTCTCGGGGCGCTGGCGGGGGAGGCGCACGTCCCTCGGCACCCGCTGTCCCCGGGGCTTGGTGGCTTTGGTCGTGCATGCACAGACAAATTAACCTTTATCCTTTCCAGAGAGAGAAGAGCTGTATATATATATCGGCAGAGATATATATATATTCTATATTTGTATAGAGAGAGAGAAACTATAGAGAGATTTGTTTTATGTGGAGCCATTCCCGCCCGGCCGGGGCGAGAGGGAGGATGGAAATGGCAGCGCTTTGCCCCCACCCCGCTCGCGCCGTGCCCCCCGCCCCAGGTGGGCACCGGGGGGCACCAGCACCCCAAAGCAATCAATAAATCCAATAAATTCGTGTGCCACTCGCTGAGAACCGCCCGGCGGCGCTGGCCCTTCCTTCCTGCCCCCGCCTTGGGGGGAGGACTGGGAGGTGGAGAGCGTTTGGGGGATAAAATGGTGGTTTGGTGTTTTATAGGGAACTTTACGGGTCTGGTGCCATGGGATGGGGCAGGGTCCCCCTCCCCCAGAAACAGCCACCCCACATGGCAGGGTCCAGCCAGGAGTGACCCCTGATCCCGGGCTGATCCCCACTGCAGGACCAGGACCAGCCCTAAGGGACTCAGAGCCCTTTTCCCCTGGGACGGACACTGGGTTTGTTTCACGTGTCTTTAATAGAAACCGCCGGCGGTGGGGCAGAGCCCCATACAAAAGCTGGCTGCAGGAATCGGGGATTGCATAGACCGAGGTGTGGGGGACCCCCCACCCTCATATAGTCGCCTTTTAGAAAACAAAAAGCGTCTCTGAATAAAACTCTCCTGGTACAATAAATACTCTGGTGGTGCAGAGCTGGGGACCATGCACCCGCCTGCCCTGTTTGGGATGGCCCCGAGCTGGGAGATCCCCGGGTTCAGAGTCACCACTTTGGGATGAACCCAGGTCTGAACCCCCCAGCTAGGGATGGTCCTGGTTTGGAATGCTTCTGGATCGGGACCCGGGGTGCCCTGGGTCAGGCAGGAGACCCCATGTCAGGATTCCATTTGGGAGCCTCTGGGTCAGGGTAGCCTGGTTTGGTTTTCCCCCAGCTCAAAGTCCCTGGGCTGGGAGCCCCCAGATCGGGATGTTCCTGGTTTGGGATCCCTGGTTCAGGCACCCTTGCGGTTTGAGATCCCTGGTTCAGGCACCCTTGTGGTGAGACACCCCTGTTGGGGAGCTCCCCGATCCGTTCAGGACCTGCTGTACAGCTGCTGGGGTGGTGCTCCCACCCACGGCTCAGAAGCTGGACTCGGGCACGGCCGAGGGCCGCAGGGGCCCGGGGGGCTGCCGGCCCCGCTGCAGGGTGGCCCCGGGGGGACCGCGGGCCAGGGGCGGCCCCGCCGCGGCCCTGCCCAGCGAGGCGGATCTGCGCAGCGCCCCCTCGGCCCGGGGAGGCAGGCTGGCCGAGCTCCGCGACCGCCCCAGCGCCGAGGGGCCGGGGGGGCAGCGGCCCGGGGGCACATTCGCGTCCCCCCGCGGCCCCGCGGCCCCGGGGCTGCTGCCGGCTCCTGGCGGCGGCCGGCGCGGGGTCCCCTCGGCGCTGGCGGCCCGGCGGAGCCGGCGAGGGGCGCGGGGGGCGCCCGGCTCCCCCTGTCCCGCGGGTCCGGCGGGGACGGTCCGGACGCTGAGGCTGCGACCGTGCAGTCCCTGCAGACCCCGCACCGAGGGCCGCGCCTCGAACCCGCCTGCGGGGAAAGCACGGTCAGGGCGGGCGGGGGGCGCGGAGGGCACCGGGGCCCGGCATCCTGAGCCTCACCGTTCTCCGGGGCGGCGACGGAGCCCGAGGGGTCGGGGTCGGTGCGGGGGTCGGCGCGGGGCTCGGAGGCGGCCAGGCGGAACACCCAGTGCCCTCTGGCGGAGCCTGCGGGGAGCGGCGGGCGTGGGCCGGGGGGACCCAGCGCGGGGAGCGGGGCGTGGGACAGGGTAGGACAGGATGGGCTGGGGGTGAGCTGGGGGTGGGACAGGGTGGGCTGAGGGTGCACACACATGTAGGGATGGTGCAGCAGGTCTGTGTGCACACGTGTGCAGGGGGCAGAGGCAGTCGTGTGCACACGGGTGTGGGTCACACGTGGGGCTGTGTGTGAGCACGCGGCAGTGCCAGGGTGTGGGAGCAGGGATCTGGGGCTCACCCGTGCCGGAGCCGGCGGCGCGGCGGCGCTGGTAGAACAGGATGTAGGCGCTGCGGGTGCTCACCTCGGCCTCGCGCACCCACTCCACCCGGCTGTCGTCGTAGCTGTACCAGCGCCCGTCCAGGGCGTTGCAGCAGAACGCTGGGGGCGAGGGGACACGGGGTGAGCGGGGACAGGGGCTCTGTCCCTGGATGCCCCCAGCCCCAGGATGCGGAGGGCACCAGGAGCCCCATGGTGCAGGGACACACCAAGGGAGTGACGGTGCTGGGGGACACATCCCGGTGCCATGGGGTGGCTGGAATGCCATCCTGAATGTCCCCTGCCCCCCGGTTCCCCTCTGCCCTGCCCCATGGCACCCCCACAGCACCCCCAGGCACTCCCATTATACCCCCTGTCCCAGTGTCCCCGCTCACCGGTGTAGTGGCCACCCTGCATGCTGCCGTGGTGGTTGCAGACGGCGTACAGGTCGTACAGGTGGTCGCGGGGGCAGCCCGGGGGCAGGCACAGGGTGGGCTGCCAGGGCACCCAGCGCCCCAGGAGCTGCCCCCCGGGCTGGCCCCGCTGTGCCACATGCGGGGCCATGTCCAGCCCCCGCAGCGGGAACCTCACCAGCGTGGTGAGCTTGTGCCGCTGCTCGGCCACCTGCCGGAAGCGCTTCAGGTGGATGATGAGGATGTCGGGCAGCGTCCACAGGCTGAGCTTCACCGTGCCCTGCTGGGGCACCTTGCAGTGCGGGCAGCGCCAGGCATCATCCGGGGCCAGCTGGGGACACCACGTCATGGCCACCTCCCTCCCAGTCACCCCCGGCAGCTCCACAGCCACCCCCAACACTGCAGCCCCTGTGCCAGTGTGGGCAGGGCATGGGCTTGCCGGGGGTGCCCGTACCTGCTCCTCCTTGGTGTAGAGCTGGAAGCATTCATCCAGGGTGCAGCTGTGCTGCTGCCCGTGCGCCTGCTGCTGCCGCCTCACGCTCTCTGCATCCTGCACCACCTCCTCCTGGATGCTCCCAAACAGCCTGGGGGGGGCACGTCACCATTGAGGGTGACTCCAATACCAGGGTGTCCCCTCAGCCTGGGCACAGGGGACTTACCGCTCTTTGGTGCTCATGTCCCACTCCACCGTCAGCTTCACGTGGGGAGGGCCCCCGGCCCCGCACAGCTGCAGGGCCCTGAGGGGAGGACAGGGTGAGATGTCCCCAGAACCCCTGTCCCCATGGGGACACCTCCTTGCCAGCCCGTGGTGGCAGGCAGGGACAGCCAGCACCTCCCACACTGGGAACACTGGGCTGGGGACCCAGTGCTGGGGCAGCAGAGTGACCACACTGTGGCCACCCAAGGTGTCACCACTGGCCACCCATGGTGACAACACAGCCATGCACAGGGACCCTGTGCCCACTCATGGTGATGCCACTAACCACCCCCAGGGGTTGAGGGGACATCCTGGGGACAGTCCTATCCCTGCAGCCCCTTACCTGTCGATGGCAGGGTGGCAGAGAGGACGGGGATCCTGAGGGGACAGGTAGGTGCAGGGGGCCGAGCCCCCGGCCAGGCGGATTCGGAAAAGGGCTCCTGTGCCCTGTGAGGGGAGAGGGGGCTGTGGGGCCACCAGGGGACAGGGATCCCTTGCCCAGCAGCAGCACCTGGCCAAGCCAGGCCTTGGGACACAGGGCAAACACAGCCCCCAAATTTGGATGGCTTTGAGGGCACAGGGCTGTTCCCTGGGCTCACCTGTGGCCGGACCTCTCCCCGCAGGACCCCCCTCAGCTGGGCCAGGATGTTCTGCTGCAGCTGCTCCCAGGAGATGCCGCGCTCCTCCCGCAGCACCAGCGGTGGCCCGAACCTGGGCAAAGGCAGCAGGGACACAGGGCTGGGTGTCACACGGGCGGGGAGGGGGGGGGACAGGGTGGCAGGCAGGTGGCAGGCAGGGGGCAGGTGGGTGGCAGGCAGGTGGGGGTACCTGGCGAGCTGCGGCCCCGTGCCCGCCGTGTTGCAGAGCAGCAGCAGGATGCGGCCACCGGGCGCGCGGTGCAGGCAGTCGGAGGAGCGGGCAGCGCTGGACAGCAAGCGCGGCCCGTCCGGCCGTGGCACTGCGGGGGATGTGGGGAGGCTGCGTGGACACCCTGCGGAATGAGGGAAACGAGGGGCTCTTGTTAGCAGTGGGTTAATTATTGCCACAGCCCTGCCCAGCACCGCCTTTCCCACCAATCCCAGCAGAGAGGACACAGCTCCCACCAATCCCAGCCAAAGAGATCCATTTCCCACTAATTCTGACAGAAACTTCTTCCCCTATTCCCGGTGGGGTGCAGCTGCCTCTGACCAATCACAGCAGGGAGAATCCACTGCCCCACCAATCCCAATGAGGGGATCCATCACCTCCCACCAATCACAGTGAGGGATCCACTCCCTCCCACCAATCACAGTGAGGGATCGACGGCCTCCCGCCAATCACAGGATCGCTCCCGCCCCCCGCCCAGCGCCAATCCCAGCACAGCCCTGGAGCTCCCAGCCAATCGGCGCGGGGCGGGCCGGCAGCCGCAGCCAATGGCAGCGCGCGGCGGTACCTGCGCGGCGGGCGGGCGGCGGCTGGAAAGCGTAGACGGGCGCGGCCTCGCCGGCCGCCCGCAGCGCCTCGGCGTCGGACAGCGAGCGCAGGAGGCCCCGCGGGGACACCTCGGCCAGGATCACCTGCGGGACGGGCGCTCAGCAGCACCGCGCGGGCCGGCCCCAAGCCCCGCAGCCCGCTCCCCGTGCCCCCTCCTCCTCTGCTCCCCGCTCCCCGCTCTGCTCCCCGCTCCCCGCGCCCCTCTCACCGCTCCCTGCGCCCCTCTCACCGCTCCCTGCGCCGCTCCGCTCCCGGCACCCCGTGCCCCGCTCCCCGCCCCGCTTCCCGCTCCTCGCTCCCCGCGCTCCGCTCTGCTCCCCACTCCCCGTGCCCGGCTCCCCGCCCCGCGCCCCGTTCCGCTCCCTGTGCCCCGCTCCTCCCCCGCCCCGCTCCCCGTACCCCGCTCCGCTCCCCGCCCCGCTCCCGCCCCACTCCCCGCCCCGCTCCCCGTTCCCCGCTCCCCGTTCCCCGCTCCCCGTTCCCCGTTCCCCGGGCCCCGCTCCCCGCCCGCCCCGTTACCTGCTCGGCGGGGACGCGGCCCTCCCGCGCCACCATCTCCCGCAGATCGGCCACGGTGCCCAGCAGCGGCACGGCCAGGCCCACCCGCACGAAGCGCCAGCGCTCGCACTGCAGCACCAGGGTGACGTTCAGAGCCCTGGGGACACGGCGGGGACACGGCTCAGCACCGCCGGGGCAGCACCGCATGGCACACACCCACCGGGCACCGCTGCCGCCTGCCCCGGGGCTGCCGCCGCCTCCGCGTTCGTTATTTACCCCCAACAATGCAAATTGCTGTGCTCGGAACAGCCGTCCTGCGGGCTCACCTGGTCTGGCGCAGCGGGATGGGCAGCGAGATGCACAGGAAGGGGTCGAAGGTGTTGCTCTGCTTCAGGCAGTGAGGGCACGTCAGGGAGGACCTGGCAGATGGATGGGCAGCGTCAGCACAGCGGGCACGGCCCCCGAGAGCCCACCCTGGGGCTGATCCCAGGTACCACAGCCCAAATGCACCGTCCCAGGTACCACACCCCAAATCCATCATCCCAGGCATCACACCCCAAATCCACCCTCCCAGCAACCACACCCCAAATCCACCATCCCTGGTACCACACTCCAAATCCATCGTCCGAGGTACCACCCCCAAATCCACCATCCCTGGTACCACAGCCCAAATCCACTATTCCTGGTACCACACACCAAATCCATCATCCCAGGTACCACACCCCAAATCCACCATCCCAGCAACCACACCCCAAATCCATCATCCCAGGTACCACACACCACATCCATCATCCCTGGTACCAACAACCACCTACTGCTGATTCTTCTTAATTTGTTTGTTTTGTTGTTTTTTGTTTGGTTTAGTTTTATTTTTGGGGGGGTTGTTTTGTTTGTTTGTTTCTAATTTCTTTTTCCCCCTGCCTTTTTGTTCAACAGAAAGGGGAAAAATGAATTAAAATCCAAAGCAAAATCCCAAGTCCTCTTTATTTGTCACCTTGAAGAGCCACTGAGCTCCCTGGGAAACAGCCACAGAAATTAATAATCCTTTAGTGCACAGACGGCTCTGGCACGTGGAACAGGGATAATTAAAGTGCCTTTTGCATATATAGGACGAGGGATTAATTGAGAGAGGAGGCAGGGCTTGTGATGCCAGATGTGTGCCCTGCTGCCTGCGGTGTCGAGGCTTGGGGACAGGGTGGCCTGAGCATCCCACGAGTGCCAGGCTGGTGAAGGTGTGGGGTGTCCCACAGCGGGGCACCCTCGTGCTGGGGCTCTGGGATAATCCCAAGTCCTGTGGCAGAGGCGCAGCTGTGGGCAGGAAAACGCCATGGGCAGGGACACCATCATGGGCAGGGACACTGCCATTGGAGCAGGCCACTCCAGCCCTGTCCAGCCTGGCCTTGGACACTTTCACCTGCTTGTAGGGGAAGTAGCTGCCATGGCTGGGGTGGGTGGGATGGATGGATGGATGGATGGATGGATGGATGGATGGATGGATGGATGATGGATGGATGGATGGATGGATGGATGGATGGATGGTGGATGGATGGAGGGAGGGACAGAGGGAGGGATGGATGGATGATGGATGGATGGATGGATGGATGGATGGATGGATGGATGGATGGATGGATGGATGGATGGAGATCCTCCCCATTTCATACCTTCCCTGGGCTCACAGTGCCCACCCAGGGCTCACAGAAGGCCAAAGCCTCCTGTGGCAGGATCTGTGCCCCACTGACCTGTACTGGGCCTGGAAGTGGCTCTGCACAAAGCTCTGCCCAGGGGGGTGCTGGGTGCCAGGGGGGGACCTGCTGGCACCGCTGCTTCCGTCCTTGCCAGGCTGCAGGGGCAAGAGACAAGTGATGAGTGAGGTGACAGGGTGAGGGCATGTCCTTCAGGGGTCAGGGACATGTCCTAGGGAACCAAGCCCAGCTTTGGTGTCCCTATGGCACGAGGATGGGCTGAAGGTGATGCCAAAGAGACTCTGGCACCTCCCTGCCTGGCCCTGCTGCACCCTCCAGGCAGTGTCAGTAAAAACCCTGGGCTGTTCTGGGGTAAGACAGTGACTTTCTGGTGTCTCAATGAGTAAGATTGAAAATCACTGAGGATTTTGGTTGAGAGGTGGATTTTCCTCAATGCCATCTGCTGGCACCAGGTCCTGCTGAGGCTGACGTGTCCTGACAGTCTGCCTGGCACTGGAGTCCATCTGGTGTGGCTGAGAGGGGACCTGGATGGTGTCTGGGCTCTACAGGGCCCTCAGAATTCCCCAAAAACCCAAGGGGTGCCTCCTCCTCCTGCCTTCCTGGCAGCCAAGCCTTGGTGCCCACTTTGGTCCCCCCTCACCCCAGACACTTATTGGGGGTCCCACCCCTGCCAGGCATCCCTCCCCAAGGACAGGGGCATGTGGGTGACACTCGGGTGGCATCACCAAAAGGAGCCAAAACTGGGGGATGGCAGGCAAAACCACAGGTGCTGAGGGACACACCAAGGGTCCCCTCCCGAGAGCCAGGTGGCACAGCCTCCACGTGGCACAGCCTCCAGGTGGCACAGCCGATGTCACACCACAGCTCATGGCACACGTGGGCACCTGACATTTAACGGGAGCTGCCAGGCTTTCCCAAAAAGCCTGAGGTGTCCAAATGTGCCAGGGAAGGTGGCAGGGTTGAGGGCAGCTCAGGTCAGGGCAGGGATGGTTGCAGGGCCCTGGCCAGGCAGCAAAGGCTCTCCAGAGACGCTGGAGATGGGCACCACAGCCAGGCTGTCCCTGAGCTACAGAGCTGGGCTGGAGGCTGGGCTGGGGGTCACCCCAAAGCAGGGACAGCTCAGTGCTGGGCCAGGTGTCACCCCCAGAGCAGGGACAGCTCAGTGCTGGGCCAGGTGTCACCCCAGAGTGGGGACAGCTCAGTGCTGGGCCAGGTGTCACCCCCAGAGCAGGGACAGCTCAGTGCTGGGCTGAGCTCACGGGTCAAACAGCAACAGCTCAAATCCATCTCCTGCAACAGGCGGCACCCGGCGGGCAGCAGCAGGCGGGGAAGGAGCCGGGAAGGAGCAGGGAAGGAGTGGGAAGGAGGCGGCAGGAGGAGGCAGAGAGGACCAGGACCAGGGCCAGGGCCAGGGCAATGCCTGAGCGCAGATGGATTGAGGAAGCCTTAATTACTCATTTTGCCAGCAGCAAAGCCGCCGAGCTGTAATTACAGCGGGCTTAGCTGGAGGCAGGGAGAGACGGGGGGGGCTGCATCTCCTCCTCATCCAAGGACCAGGATGCTCCCAGAACCGGGATGCTCAGCTGGCTCCTGCCGACATCCCCCATTCTCCTAGCACTCCAACCCCTGCCAGTCTCGGCTCCCACCTCGAACCACAGCATCCCTGTCCCCTCCAGGGCGGGGCCCAGCTCCATCCACCGCCTGGCACCGCACCCCGGTGTCCTCGGTCCCAACCCAGGCCCGAACGCCCCTCCCGAGCCGGGGGCACCCACCTGCGCGGGGCCGCGGCTCTGCTGGGCCGGGGAGGCGGCGCCCAGGTCCTCGTGCATTCGGTCCAGCAGCCAGAGCAGGAACTCGAGCGCGTCGTGCTGAGCATTGCCCCGGAACTGCGAGCTGTGCTTGGAGACGATGTTCTGCAGGACACGGGCGGGGCGGGCGCTGATCAACGGGTTCATGCTCAGCACCCACTCCAAAACCACCCCTGCTCCATCCCTGCAACAGCCGCTGCCCTGTCCTGCCTCTGCAGGGACATCTCGGCCACCCCGGGGCCAGCAGAGCAGTGGGGACAGAGACAGAGGCTCTGTGGTGCCCCAGCTTCCAGCGGCCAGGAGGGGACACAGGGTAAACCGCAATAAGGTCTAGGTGGGCAGGTTCAGTCATGGGGACCCTCGGGTCCCACCTGCCCTGAGCGCTCCGATGGCGCCAACCTCGAGTAGCCCATGCCAGGGCGGGGCTCGGCTGCCCGGGAGCTCCCCCGGGCACTTTGCAAAGTTCAGTTTCTTGGCAGCACCGAGGAAATGTCACTCGGGCAGGAGACACGTGTCTCTGAGCGCGGGGAGCTGTGATGCCAGGCTGGCCATGCTGCGATGCCCGTGGCACCCTGTCCCCTGGATGCCCCTGACACCCTGTCCCCTGGCACACTGGCAGAGGTGTGACACACCCAGGGACAGAGCCCGAGGCCACTGAATTTGGCTCCTGGCACAACATCCTGCCTTCCCCGTGATCCCAGCCGGCTCCAGCTCAGCCTCAGGGCTCTGGGCACGGCCGGGGCTGGCAGCTCACCCACCCCGGGGGCTCCGGGGACCGGGGCCAGGCCAGAGGGAGGTGACAGCAACAGGGCCGGGGGTGTCCGGCAAGGCAGGGTCCACAGGGAGGCTGAGGCAGGGGAGCAGCTGATGTGAGCTGGGAGGGGTGGCAGGGGTTTGGGGGGTGGTTAGGAAGGGTGTCAGTGGGTTCCGGGGACTGGGAAGGGTGTCAGGGGGTTCAGGGGGTTAGAAATGGTGTCAGTGGGTTCGGGGGACTGGAGGAAGCTGTGAGCGGGCTGTGCGGGAGCTGTGAGCGGCGGTGCCGATGCTGTGAGCGGCGGTGGATGCCGCTGGGGCCGGGGTGAGCCGGGGCCGCGGGGCGGGGGCCGCTCGGTACCTTGAACTCGGCGGAGAGCTGCGGGGTGTACTCGCGGGTCCAGAGCGCCCGGACCAGGGCCGCCAGCCGGTGCGTGACCTCTCCGCGGGCGCGGTACCGGCCCAGCGCCAGGCGCTCGGCCAGCGGCGCCGTGTTGCTCAGGCACTGCACCACGGCGTTCATGAAGCAGGTGTTGCCGTGGTTCCGCAGCCCCTGCGCGCCCGGCGGCCGCTCCCCGCCGCCCGCTCCCGCCTCGCCCGCTCCCGCCTCGCCCCCCGGGGCCGCCGCCGGGGCCGCCCCGCCGAGCCGCCGCCGCGAGCCCCCCCGGAACCCGCCCTCGTCATCCTCGGGGGCGGCGCGGCGGCCCCCGCGGCCCCCGGCCAGGCGCGCCCAGGTGCGGAGCAGCCGCCCTGCCAGGCAGCCCAGCGAGCGCAGCGCCCGCCGCCGCCGCCCGCCCCCCGCCCGCGGCCGCACCGCCGGGCTCGCCCCGCCGCCCCCCGCCCGCCGCCGCCGCCCGGGGCCGCCGCCCTGCCCCGGCCCCGGCCCCGCCGCGCTCATGGCCGCGGGCGGCCGCCCTGCCCCTGCCCCGGCCCCGCCGGCCCCGGCCCCGCCGCGGCGCGCATGGCCCCGGGCGGGCGCTGGGCGCTGGGCGCCGCCGGTGCCGGAGCCGCTGCGGGGCCCGGAGGGGCCGGGCGGGAGGTTTTGTGCGCGGCCGGCTCCTCCCCCGGCCGGGCTGGCTCGGGAGAGGGAGACGGCAGGAGGAGGAGGAGGAGGAGGAGGAGGAAGAGGGAGCGGAGCGGAGGCGGGGGGAGAGGGGAGGTGCCGCCGGCGGCACGGGCGGCCGTGCCCCGCCCGCCCCGGTGTCCCCAGCGTCACCCCGGCACCGCCCGGTGCCAGCCGGGTGAGCCGTGCCTCTGTCCCCTTTGCCGGCAGTCCCGTCCCTGCTGCCCTGAGCATCGCCTCAGGGTGTCACAGCGGCACTCGGGGATGCCCCAGTTCTGCTCCCGCTGGGCGCTCTGAGCTGATAGTGGCACCATGGTCACCTCCGCATCCTCCACACTGAGCCTTGGGGACATAGTGACAGTTCCTGTGCACAGAGGAGTCACAAAACGGGGGTTTCCAACCCAGGGCTGGCAGAGTCCAGAGCCTTTGGCCGCCTCCTGCCACCCTTCACTGTCTGGCACCACACCCTGGTGTCGGTTTGGGGTTCGGGAGGTGTGGCAGGGTAGCAGAGGAAGGGTCAGGCGGTGCTGTTGGGTGTAACGGTCCCTCCCCCCGCAGAGCAGGTGTCCCAGGGCCGGGCTGTGAGCTCGGGGTGGTGACAGGACGGTGACCTCCCCGGGGGGATGCCAGGCTGGCAGCCAGCAGTGTGGTGCACACTGATCGGGCACAGGGCCGGGCGCCGGCCCTGGAGCGAGCTCAGGCTAAATGCAGCTGCCGATGCTGAGCAGATGGAGCGCGATCAGCCGCCCGTGCATCCCCAGGGACGGCTCTGCCGCGAGTGGCCCCGGGCTCAGGAGCTGCTGATCCAGACGGGAGAGAGGATTGAGCCCGGCCGGAGCTTCCTCCCGCCCGCAGCCAGCCCTGGTTGGCACGGGATGTCCCTGAGAGCCCGGCTGGGGTCACCCGTGTCCCCTGAGAGCCCGGCTGGGGTCAGCCCTGCCCCTGAGAGCCCAGCTGGGGTCACCCGTGTCCCCTGAGAGCCCGGCTGGGGTCAGCCCTGTCCCCTGAGAGCCCGGCTGGGGTCACCCGTGTCCCCTGAGAGCCCGGCTGGGATCAGCCCTGCCCCTGAGAGCCCCCCGAGGGAGCAGCTGCCTTGTGGGGACTGCAGCTCCCACCCTGGGGCCACCCCAGGCCCTCAGCCTTTCCTCCGGGGCAGATGGGAATGGGGATGGACGGGCCCTGCCGGGGGTGGTCCCTGTGCCCGGGGAGCTGCTCTGGGCTGGGGATGCAGGGCAGGGGCTCAGGGCAGTCCCTGGCCCCCAGGGTCCCACCAGCACCGTGGGGCTCCCAGCTCCCAGCCTGCCCGAGGAAAGCTGCTGGCACTGCCGGGGCTCTCGCTGGCCCATGCACTCTGGGCTGAGCTGAAATTCCATCTACAAAGCCCCCAGGATCAAAGGTTTGACTCCTGGGCTGACTCTGCATCCACTGCTGGAGCTCATTTCTCAGCATCCTCCTGGCCAGAGCTGTGAAATCCATCATTACAAAGCCAAAGGATTAAATTCCTCCCTGCTCCTATCCGAAGGTGACAATCCATACACAGAGTGTTCCCTGGGATGCCTGGCAGGCTCCTGGCCCTGCTGCAGCACTCCCCAGTGCAAACTCTGCTGCAGACCCCGGAGATGGGAACTGGGATCTGCCAGAGCACTCGTGTGGGGCTGCAGGGCCTTTCCTGGCTGAATTCTCTAACAAGGGCAGGTTGTGCCTCATGCAGCGTGGGAAGAATGGGTTTATCTAGAGCAGCTCCCGGCTCACTGAGGAGAAAAGCACTTGTTGTTTCTCTCTGGCCGCTTTTGGCTGCACGCTGGAGCCCCGAGCATCCCACGCAAGCCAGGGAGGAGAGGCAGCCCAGGCAGGGCTCCTGCCGAGCTCAGGGCAGCCAGAAACACAAAGCAACTCCTCAAGGAAGGTGAGGAAAAGCCTAAAGGAGAGCAAGGGGAGGGGAGAGTCCAGAGGCAGGAGCTGAACTCTGGCTGGGTCAGAACCTGGTGTTTGTTAGGGTGGGATGGATGGGGAGGGAGAGCTGACAAACACAGCCAAGGGAAATGGCTTTAAAATGAGAGAGTGAACTCAGTCATGCACAAAACCCCAGTCCTGCCAGGATTAGGAAGTTTGGGTAGTGAAAGCATTTATCCTGGGGTCCTGTCAGCCCCCCCAGCTGCTCCCCTGATGTCAGTGCAGGAATCCTGACAGCACACATCAGCCAACGACTGAAAACTGAATCGGAGCCTTTCCAAGCACAGGAGAGGCATCCCCTGGCTGTCAGTGCCTCCCCCCCAGCCTGGAGCAGGCAGAGGTGCCTGCCCCACAGGTAACTCCAGTGCATTCCAATCCAAGGCAGTTTGCACACCGGAGTGAGCCTCAGGAATGCTCACCGTGTGAATCTGCCTTTCAGTGGCACTGTACTTGTCATCTTCCCTCTTTTTCAGGTCATTCTGAACGTGATGCCTTCCTATTCAGGCTGAATCAAATATTTATCAACGCTGCAGCATCCGGCCCTGCTGGGTTGCGTCAGCACTTTCTCCCTAAAATGCCTTTTTTGGGATCTCCTGCCTCTCTCCAGCTCCTGCCTCTCAAGCTGCCATTTCCTGCTTCGGCTTCAGAGCAAATGTGGGGTGGGCAAAATCCAAGTGTCAAACACCAGGGAAGGATGGAAACGCTTGGTCCCTGTGCTGGAAAATTCCTTGTTGTTATGGCATGAACTGCCCGGGACAGCAGACAGCCAGGATGGGTATGAAAACACAGAGGGGTTGGGTTGGATTAGGGAGACACGGGGACAGGACAGCCCTGGGCATGGACAGGAGTCCCTGTGCCAGGGAGGCACTTGGATTTCAGGATAAAATCCCGAATAGATCTGAGCTGGACTGACTCAGGCCCCAGAGAAATCCATTTCCATGCTGCCAAATCATCGTGATAATAATAACAGCAAAAAAAAAAAGAGAAACCTTCCTCCCTGCTCGCTGTGCTCTGCCCTGGGACAATGTTTGCTTTCTTTGAGCCTCTCCCGCTCTCTTGGCACGGGCTGGGAACATCTGTGCTGTGGAGTGGAAATGTGCTTTCAACAGCCCTGTCCCCTCCGAGCCTGGGGGCAGCTGGGGGAGCCCGGGAGGGGCTGGGGGAGCGGCCTGGGCTGGCACTGCCCCCTCCCTGCCCCCTCCCTGCCCTTCCTGCCCATCCCTGCCCCATCCCTGCCCCTCCCTGCCCATCCCTGCCCATCCCTGCCCCATCCCTGCCCCTCCCTGCCCATCCCTGCCCATCCCTGCCCCATCCCTGCCCATCCCGGCCCCCTCCCTGCCTGCAGCCGTTTTTGGGCCCAAGGCAGGGAAATCTCCCCCCTGGACCCCCTCCCTCCCCAGCCTCTGCAGCTCGGATTGAATTATAGATAGCAGAGTGAGTTATTCCGTGCCCCATGAAAGATGCATGGGGCCTGCCTTTTTTGGGAGCCTCTGAGGAGGGACAGCATCGAGGCAGGGAAATGCTGCTTGTGCAGGGCTCAGGCTGATGAATGGAGCTGGCCATGCTCCGCTGGTTCCCAATGAAAGCCGCAGATAACCCCGGGCTGCAGGAGCTCCTGCACTTTATTCACAGCAATTCCCCTCGGGTTTAATGCATCTGCTCCATCCCTGGTGCTTCACTGAGCAGGTGTCTCCAGGCTCTTTCCACCCATTATCCTGTGAGCTGGGACTGTGATCCCGCAGCAGGAGCTGAGCTGGGATCCAGCAGGGCTGAGCGGGGATTGTGCCTGGACACTGTCCCGGGCTCTGCGGGGCTCAGCGCGGCTGGGGGAGCTCGGAAACCTCACCCCGGGGGTGTCCCAGGGGTAAATGAGCACCGTGCAGAGGCGTGAGCGGCGGGAGGGATGTGATGGGAGGGAGAGGGGTGTGCCCGCAGGGACAGGGATGTGCCCGCAGGGACAGGGGTGAGCCTACAGGAACAGGGGTGTGCCCACAGGGACAGGGATGTGCCCGCAGGGACAGGGATGTGCAGGGAGAGACAGGATGTGCCCGCAGGGATGTGCCCCCAGGGACAGGGATATGATGGGAGGAACAGGGATATTATGGGAGGGACAGGGGAACAGGTCTTGCCAAGCTGAGCACAAGCCTGAAAGGTGACAGAGGCACCCAGAGCAGCAGCCTGGGAGGGAATGGCCTCTGTTTCCTGTCGGAATGTGGCTCTGGGAGCAGCCACACCAACACAGGACTCTGGCTCTACAGTGGGTTCTCCCCTTCCTGCAGTGACAGGTTTGGGTGACCCATGGGGACAGCATGGCTCTGCTGAGGTAGAACAGAGCCCTGATCTCCAAACCTGACCCTTCTCCACACTCTGCCCCAGGGGAGCCGCAGTGCCAGGGCTCCTGGCACCCCTGGGTGGCTCTCACAGGCCCCTGCTCTTTCCCCCACACAGGCACAGAGGTTTTCCAGCCTGTCCCACATTCCAGGGCTGGCCCTGGATCCCCAGCACTGCTGCAGAGCCTGTGGAACCTGCTGGAGGGTTTGTGGCTCACAGCACCAGGGGCTGCAGAGGAGGAGAGGACTCTGCCTGGATTCCTGGGCTGAAGGCTCCATTGGTGAGAGCAGGGGTTTCAGGCAGAAGGAAGAGGATTTGCTCAGGGTTTGATGGAGAGCAGAGGGGCACAGGCTGAGAGGATCCCCCTGTGCTGTGCTGTGAGCAGGAAATGCTGTCAGTGGCACGTGAGGAAAACCAAGCAATGACACCTTTAAATGCCAGTCCCCAGTGCCTTCCAGAGCTGTCAGTGCAGGTGTGGAGATAAATCATCGCCATTAACTGAAACATCTGAGATCCTCAGCATTAAGGGCTGCAGCGTTCTGTTCTGCTGCATTCTAATTGATGACAGAATTCTCCCAGGTCTCCAATGCCTGCAAGAGAAATCCTTCCCTTGCATCACTTCCCAGGCACTGATCTTTACACAAACAGCACTCGAGAGCTACTGCTTTTAATCCTAGATGTGATACTGAGTTAGTAATAAGCACTTCTGCTGTGCGAATTTGGAGCCTGTTTGAGGAATCAGGCCAAGCGTGCCAGGCTGGAAATACCCAGGCATTTCAGCAGTGGCTGCACTCTCCAGAACCAGGAGCTTTAAACTGGACACTGCAAAGGAACAGCCCCAGCATCCCTGAGTGCCTTTGGGAACGTGGGGTTAAAAGCTTGGCTTGAAAGAGCTTCCCAGTGAATGCCAGGAGTTGGAGCTGAATTTTTTCCTTAATCAGGAGCAGACAAATTAAAATAAACACAGAAGACTGAATTTACACAACAAGTCATTCATTAAAGGCAGGGCAGGAGGGGGGAGGGAAAAGAGAGGGAGTGGAAGAGAGAGGGAGTGAAAGCAAGATATCAT